TTGATAAATACTCCTAACAAGGGCTCGCTGTGAGAGAAGAAGTTTCGTAGAAATCCGATTTGCGCTCCTAAGTGTCTCCAAATTGATCCGAATACTACGAGCATCGCTTTGACTTGTCATTTCTAGAAGCTGCTCGCTTTCAAGAAGCCACATCTTGTGAAGTTCGGCCTTCTTGTTAAACTTCTCCAGATGGGTCATTTTCCTGCTCTAATTGAATGCAATGATCATTGTTTTACTGATTATTGTACAATTATTTTAGAAATTAAATTGACATTTGCATTACTTCTGCTTCAATGCCTGATTGGATCCTTTTAGCGCAGACTTTTTCCATTTCTTCTAATTGTAACCAGATTTTGTAAATTGTTGGAAACTCAAAACCTGTGGGTGGGTTGGGTGTACGGTAACCCCAGGCCAAATTCTCGCCTTTAAGGTTTAACCACATAAACTAAAAATGCAAATAGTTTGTATTTTCAATTAATAAAACATTCGAATTTAAAGACATCATAACTTGCAAAGAAGAATGAGAAAAAACTTGAACTATTTAGCAAAATTTGAATTTATGAAACTAAAGTAAGATTTTAATTAAAATTATGAATATCTCTTATTCCCTATTTTCTCGAAAATGAATATAATGTCAGAATTTTTTTAAAAGTTTATTTTATTTTAATGAACAGAGAACTACGGGTTAATTTCTTAATCCCTTTTTTCAATTTTTTAAATTATGCGAATTTGTATTGACTGATGACATTATCTAATGACAAATAAGTATATTATAAATATACGCTTTTTCTCACCTCAATTTGACAAATCGCTTCGCTCCTCTTTTGTTTTTCTTTTTTACGCCACTGGTTTAATTTTTTGGAGATAATTTGAATATCTTTAAAGGTGCTAAGTTCTTCAAGGAAACGCAGATTACTTTTCATCCAGTTGCGAAGATTGTAGACCTCCCTAATGTAGGCCGTCATATGTCTTCCTGCTGTTACAGCTCTGTTGAGCACAACTCCAAGTCGATTTGACGACCTTTTGAAGTTCCGATTTTCATTCAGTCGATGGTACCAAGTAGCCACCACAGCAATGATGCATCTCTCATCATTGCTGCAAGCGATAAAATCAGTTGCACTGACCACTTCGGGCATATGGAAGACCTTCTCGGCCATGTTAAAGGCCTCCGATAGACGATTAACGGGGGTTACGTTTGGAGCAGCAAGTTTTGCAAAATCCAGCAGATCGGGGCAGTGTCGATGGATCAGAGCACACATTGCCAAACCGTCACTCCAACTGGTTGTAAAGTTGGTGATTTCAATCTAAAGAATATGTGAAAGCATTAGATCAGAATCTATTTAATGACTTTGGGATGTTAAAATCAGTCAGTCTTTAACAGCCAACGGATAAGTATAAACTGTCTGAATTGCCGTTGTGTATATCAGATTAAAAAATTAAACGCCTCGGAGTGAATGTATATATATATATATATATATATATATATATGGGGTGTGCCAAAAATTAAACACATTGAAACTAATTGTACACGTAACATTCAATTCGAATTTTATTATTTCAAAAGCGTAAAAATATTTTGCAAGTAAAATCATATTGTTTTCAGTGCTTATTTCCAAACTGACATCCATTTTGTCCCAGACACTGCTGACAACAATAAACAATGGAATCGCCCACAACATGAAATAATTCCCTCGGGATTTTGACGCATTCGTACACAATGACTCCTCTTAATTCAATAACTGTTGCAGGTTTCGTAGTGTAGACTTTGTCTTTTAAGTATCCACATAAGGGGGTGTGCGATAGACTTACCTCCACGTGGAGCACCCTGGGCAACGTATACTCATATGTGCAAAAATGTCTATAAACCCTCAGTTGACTTCGGACTTCAAACTGCTATGACCCCACAGTATGTCATATTCGACTACTTCCATAGTACTCACCTCACCATTTTTCTACCTTTTATCCCTTCGTCTTTGAAACACTATTCTGTTCCCCCCCCCCTCGACTTTTTTCACTTTGATGTTCCTCCTCCCCTCTGTGAAGCCTGAAGTCAACTAAAGGGCTAATGATAACTATCAAAACGCCTGTCTTTTGATATAAATAAATTATTTGATGAAATGTGAGCATTAAGCCGTTATTATTATGCCATAAAAATGCCAGTTTAGGGAACTGCACTCCAAAAGATCTCTGTTGATCAATACTAAATAATCAATTTACCTATTCTTCAATAAAGTTCGGACTGTTGTATTATCAGACATCTTAACCATGCGCCTTCCAGGATTTTTCATCTCATTATCACCCCCAGAATATCTGTGTGACCAGATCTCAAGTAACATATTATAACGTAAAACATAATTAGATAAATGGGTGATAATGGCTATACATACTCGAAGTGTGGATAGGACTGGAAGAGAGATATGTAGAACCAGTGCACGTAGACTCATGCCTACTCAGTCCGTCATCCAATGAGTACCTATAGACTCATGCTCCTGTCCTCATTGTGTGTTGCACATCAACAAACACAAGACGCACCAACCGCTCTATTAGCCCTCACAACTCCGCTTGTCTACAATGGACGCTTTCTAACTTCCTTTCTACTACACTTTCTATTCCCTCCTCATTTCCTCTCTCTTATTCGTTTCTCCTTTTTCCAATCTGGACGTAGCCTTGCTGAACTCCTGATCTTATCAAGTGGTGGAGGGAGGGGGGGGGCCTTTTAAGATTAATCATAATACGACGGGATAACTAACTTAATCTGATCCGGGCTCTAAGGTAATTCAATAAGGAATTATAGCAACAAGTTTAGTTCAAGAAGTATGATAAAATATATAATGGTAAAAATTAATCAAATTATTCTCAAATGGTAATTAGCCATCAGTTTTAAAATGTGTTAGAAGTTATTTATATATTCTTAATAATTTGTTACGTTTTCGAAATAATTCCCAGTAGATTTAACTGAATACTTCTATGTATTCGACAACCCTGACATCAAGCCTAATTGGCTTTACGAATGATTTAATCAAAAAATTGTAATTGCGTATTGACGAATAAAATAAAAGTACAATGCAAGAAATACGAAAAATGCCGCGCTTGCTAATTTGAGCACGAGGTGTGTGGTAGACTTACCTCCACGTGAAGTTATTTAATGAATGGGGTGTGCGATAGACTTACCTCCACGTTGTGCGAAATAGCAATGTGGGGTGTGCGATAGACTTACCTCCACGTGGTACGCCCTGGGCAACGCACTCATACGGCAAAAAAGTCTATTAACCGGCAGTTGACTTATCACTTCCATACGGCTACCTCCACGTGGTGCACCCTGGGCAACGTGTACTTACAACCTCCATGTGGTGCACCCTGGGCAACGTATACTTATGCGGAAAAAAGTCTATTGACTGGTACTTCAAACTGCCCACGTGGTGCACCCTGGGCAACGTATACTCATACGGCAAACAAACTGGTGCACCCTGGGCAACGTATACACGGCAAAAGAGTCCGTGGTGCACCCTGGGCAACGTACACTCACACCTTACCTCCACGTGGTGCACCCTGGGCAACGTATTCTCATTCGGCTACCTCCACGTGGTGCACCCTGGGCAATGTATACTCATACACCTCCACGTGGTGCACCCTGGGCAACGTATACTCACGATAGACTTACCTCCAGGTGGTGCACCCTGGACAACGTATACTCAAACGGCAAAAAAGTCTATTATTCGGCAGTTGACTTCTGACTGCAAACTACCAAGACCCCACTGCATTTCATATTCGAATAATTTCACAGTACTCACCTCACCTTTTTCTACCTTTGTGTCTGTATCTCTTTTACGTCTGTGAATCATTATTCTGTCCCCCATCTTGCTCTTTTACGTCTGTGAATCATTATTCTGTCCCCCTCTCGGTACGTCTGTGAATCATTATTCTGTCCCCCTCTCGACTTTTACCAGTTGGTGTTTTATCTTCCTTTCTGTGAAGCCTGAAGTCAACTAAAGGGTTAATGATACCTATCATAACGCCTGCCATTTGAAATAAATAAATAAATATATTATA